TGGAGTCAAGGTTGGCTCACTCCTGGCTCCAATGAGCTCTTGGAGAAGTCATTAAGCTAGGGGCTCATATACTTTTTCCTCCCTGCACCGTGAATGTTTCCTGTTATGTTCAATTAAATCATGGCAACATCTAATGTTTGTGTAGTATTATTTTCAGCAGACTGTGTTTTTGTATTATTGTGACTTAGATGAAGTTCAGAGCACATTTTATGACCAATTCATGCAAAACTCCATGTAATCCCAAGGGGTTCACATACTTTTTCCCTGCATTGTGAATGTTTACATGTTATGTTCAATTAAATCATGGCAACATCTAATGTTTGTGTAGTATTATTTTCAGCAGACTGTGTTTTTGTATTATTGTGACTTAGATGAAGTTCAGAGCACATTTTATGACCAATTCATGCAAAACTCCATGTAATCCCAAGGGGTTCACATACTTTTTCCCTGCATTGTGAATGTTTACATGTTATGTTCAATTAAATCATGGCAACATCTAATGTTTGTGTAGTATTATTTTCAGCAGACTGTGTTTTTGTATTATTGTGACTTAGATGAAGTTCAGAGCACATTTTATGACCAATTCATGCAAAACTCCATGTAATCCCAAGGGGTTCACATACTTTTTCTTGCAACTGTAGTTCTTCTGTCCTTCCCTTTGATATTTCCATAGCTGCTATATTATTGAGTACTTTCAACTTTAAATCAAGTATAGATTTTATAAATTCTGCTACCATTCTTATTCCCAACCTAACATTTCAGGATATCTTTTCTGATGTTCCCCAGCTATTTTGATTCATATGTCTGTTTTTTTTTTCCATTTATTAAGGAACACCTACAAATATTTGTGAACGAATTGGCCTTCTTACCTGAAGTCATTTTCTTGGGTTATATTATGTATATTTTTCCTTTTTTCATTTTGATCAGATATCATGGAAGAGAAATGACTGGTGCAGCTGGATTACATGCCTTTGCTTTGTTTGTTTTGTTTTGTTTTTTAGGGAAAAGTGGAAGTAGAAGTGGGAAAAGAAGGATTGCGATTTGAAAATGGTGCTTTCACATATTATGGTGTTCCAGCAATCATGACTGTCATCTGTTCAGGTAGAAATCTAAAATTAAGCACAGAATAGGATGACAGAAGTCACAGAAACAGAACCTAAAATGTTCAGAATAAATGAACCTAAATATATAATAAACAGGAACTTGCAATTTTATTTTGTTTCTCTCTCACTAAGCATTTAGGCAAATATAAGGTAAATAAGCAAAAGAAGACAGATTCCATAATGCAGGTTAGAAAAAGCTATATAGCATAACGTCTGATGGCTGAAGAGTTACTCCAGACTTTGCATGATGCAATATGAGCTCCAAAAGTGGTAGATCCTGAGCCTGGATCAGGAGGTAGTATAGAAGTTTTTAAGGAGTGAAATGTGCACCTTAGGCATCTGCAAGGCCTAACAATTTTCAAACACTCATAAATTGAAAAAAGTACCTAGTGTTTTGGCCCCATCTGCAAAATGAATACAGGTAAGTTGCATGTGATTCCTGGACTATACTTTTTCTAGCCCTCATTTGTTTGGTTTCTATCCCTTCTGAGCTTTTGGAAGGAGCCACAGACACATTGATAAAATGATAAGGCTAAAATATTTTAAGCAGAATGCCTTCGTTTCATATTACACAAAATTGCAGTATTGCAACATTAATAGAAAATCATATGTTGGGAAGAAAGAGATTTATAAAGCAATTTTCTTTTCCTTATAAGCAGGTAGGCCTTGAAAAACCAAATAATAATAATATTTGAGCCATTCATTTGAGCCTGATCCAGGCAAGCAACAGTTGATATTAACCAGACTTCTGGCTGATGTTGCGGTAAAATCAGATGTGAGGGGCGGGTCTCCGTGCTCCCATGCCAAGTTCCCCCTGTTAGAGGGCTTCAAAAAAAGCTAAAGCCTCTCTGTAGGGGTGGTGAAGAAAAGAGGGGTGCCATGCAGGTCCTGCTTGACTCAGGGCTTCTTCCCTCTCATCCACAACGAGGAGAAGAGTCAGCCATCATGGCTGCCATGAAGCTGAGACAACTGAGGCAACAAAGAAATGTGCAGGAGCGATGTAGATGAATAGTGACTGGAGCTAGGTGAGAAGATTCCTTTTTTACTTAGACTCTAACTTTAAAAGGGAAAAAAGAGGAAAATCCAAGAAAAGAGACTCTTAGAACTATTTCTTAAAGCGGGGAACAACGATAGAGTGAAAAATCCTAGACCCAAAAGAAGGGAACTAAGGGGAGAAAAGCTAAAAGACCTTTTAAAACATAGAAACTTGGATTTTTAACTGGGAAGGCGTTGTTTTGGAAATGCATTATAAAATGCTAGAACTAGCTACTTGAATCTACTTGAATAGCCAACTCTGGTTCCATAAATTGAACTAAATTTGAATTAATTTATCAGACCTGAAACAACGCTGAAATCTATTACAATTAACCCTACAAGACTAGGAAAATTCTTGATAAGAGAAATAAACAACATTCATCCGGAGGACTGTGGTGATACACTGTTCTATAACTATCTACTTTATGATTACTGGAGACTCTATTGTGAGAACAAGGAAGACTTTTAAGTCAAAATAAAGTGACTCTTGTATTTGTGGAAGCTGTCTGGACTACTTAAATAAAACTTATTAATAATCTTGAGATGTAAAAAGCTATGATTATTGAACTTTCTGAGGAGCAACATTGGACTTCAATATATTGTTTTTGGACTTGAGTAAGAGTGGGACATTAAATTAAGACAAGATGCTCCATTAGGGGGAAATGAATTAGATTTCAAGAAAAATGGCGATGTTTTCAAAGCATAAGGGATACTATGACAAAGAATCACAGAGAGATAAAGAATAATGCAAGGCATAAATGGGAAAATAGAAAATATGCTACAACTGATAATGAATGAAGATCAAAGAGCCTAGGAAAGAGAGAAGACAGCAGAAAGAATGGAGGAAAAGACAGAACAGATAAACCAGAAAACAAAGCAAGAAGATGAGAAGAAGACGATAAAGATAATAATGACTGATGAAATAAACCAAGGGAAAAGTACTTTTAAGGGATTTAAAAATGGAATTGGATAACTTGGAAGATACTTTTGAAAGGGAGATAGGGGTTTGGGCGGACACTCTGGAGACCAAGCAGCTTAGAAGGATAGAGATGGGAGAAATATTCAGACTGAATAGTGAAGACTCAGATGCTGATAGAGACAAAAGATCCAAGAGAGGAGTATGGGAGGCCAAAAAATGAATAAGAATTGAAGTATTAAAATGGGCAAGAGATGATGGATAGAAAGGAATTATTATTACTTCTTTTTTTATCAAATGTAATGATGACCTGATTAAAAATTAGAATAGAGATAGAAATAAGAATACACATCTTTATATAAAGCAATAGTTAGATGGAAAGATTGGAGGCTGAAAGATGGTATTATTAGGTATGTTTAAATAATAGGATGACTGGTACTAGAATGGCATACTGTGATTTTGAACAATCAAATAATGAAGGACTGTGTCTTGATATAAACAAGTTTATTACCACAAAGATTAGCAATGGTGGCCTGTGTAGAAGTTAGAATAGAAGTAGAAATAAGAAATATGGGGAATATTAGATATAATTTTTATATAATAGAATAGGAATTAGATGGAAAGATTAGAGGTTGAAAGATGATATTACTATGTATGAATAATATTGGCATTAAAATAGAATATTGAAATATTGAATAATTACTCTAAAACAATCATGTATATCAATACTAGGATTATATAAGTTTGATTAATGTAACAAGTAATTATTACTATTATACAATTGTATCACAGCGGCCAGTTGTTTCGCCGGATTTGGCATTGATTACTAGTCGGGCCTCACCCAGGGGCCTAGGACGTC